GGAAACGGGGAAATAGATCTTTTGAAAGCGGGAAGGAGACCAAGAGATGCAGGGAAGGAAACAGAGAATTAAGACTGGTCATGCGCGTGTACAAATAACCAAAATGAACACAGTCATTATGCCTCCCAAATACGTTATAATAAAAAACTAAAAATCGATGGCACCTACGAAAAGGGAGGAAATACATGGAGTTGAAATACACCAAGTCTGCACCCTTCAGGACATATTTGCATTAAATGATCTTCCAAAATAACTTTAACAGCACAGCTGGGGCTAAGCTTATAATTTTTAAATCTTTCATCCAAAGATTCTTGATGTATATTTTTATTCTTAGAATGTCCTAGGACATTATATAATGCATGTTTTTTATTGCCAAATAGGAATCTGCATTTCTGAGCTCTGAAATTTGCCTTAAGCATGTACTGACTTCAGCCTGGCTCTTCAACCTTTTCCTTTAGCCTGAAAATTGCCCGTCACAGGAAAGATGACTTAAGCCCTTATAAAGCCTGAAAAATACTGTTTTCCTATTTAAAATTTACAATCAGATATCTCCAGCAGAGGGTGGCTATGTGCTGGCATGACTTTAAATTACAGCATTTTCATCCAAATCTTCGTTAGGCTTCATTGTTGGCCACTCAAAGAAGCTCAATGAACACGAGAGAGAAATGAGTATGTCAAGAGATCAAATATAACAGAGCGTTTGGAGGCTTGTTAGTCCAGAATGGAAAGTGAGCAATAGCAGGTTTCCAGAGCAGTGATGGAAGAAATATTTATGGGTCGTATGACCTACTTGTGTTTTTCAGAGCAGAATCTCTATGTTAGAAAAAGAAAAAGGAAAATGAGAAATAATAGGATAAAGGCAGTATATCTCATTGCAGCAAATGGGGTCCTGGAGAAGAAACTTTTTATGGAACGTAGATAACTTTGGACACTTTAAAATCAACAGGGTAAATATTGCACTCAAAATGTGAACTAGAAATGCCAGCATTGTGAAATTAAAGCAAATTCAAGGACACTAAAGCACTTTTCTTAATTATACATTTTTGACTGTCAGATTTGTACAGTGAAAAGTAATTCCCTTTGTATGTCGTGGCAATAATTAACGTTGTAGACTGACCTGGTGTCTTCCCTGAAGTGGAGGCAGAACTTCTGAGAAGTCACTTACTCATAACCAGTCCTCATTTATCATGACTGTAACTACAAACTAGCTTTCAAGCATGACGTTCCACTGAAATAAAGTGATGACGGACTAGAAAAAGGTTAAATTTTGGTTGAGAAGAAAAGCTTGAGTTATGATGCTTGATGTAGCAGACAGACTCTGGCCTCTAATCTATTCATTCTCTTTAGGGGCAAAGGGCTCTTGGAAAAAGTCTTAGGTCATCAGTTTTGAATGATAGTCAACATGTCTATTTCAACAAAGATAAAAGAAGGTGGTGTGAAATTTCTTGGTTCAGATGTAATTCATCGCTTGCTAAAGGGAATATCAGATCAAAGACTAGTTCAAAACGACGTAGAAGATATTAAACTTCCAAGCCTGGGACTCACTGTGCATTATATGGGCCTCGTGGGGTCATTATCTCTCTCCTGCTCCAGCTGTGATGAACCTGTGACCCTTCTGTCTGACCACCCACCCAGAATTCCCTCACCTTCCATTCTACCGTCTTCCCATCCTTTCTCCTTCTGAAAGGCTTTAACTGCAAAATTACTGCATTAAATATGCAGTAAAATGATCACACATAGAAGTAAATATTTAAATTTATATACTTTAAAATAGCTCTTAAAGGGCTAGTGGAACAGGGAAAGAAGTTGTTTGGATACTATTTATTTCAATAAGACATTTAACCACTAGATGTCACCCTTTTTTAAGCAATCAAATAGTTTCTTTTGGCACCGTAAGAGCAGTTACATTTATTCCATTATATTTGATATTCTCCATATGCTTCTCAGCTACAATACTGAAAACTTTATCAGAAAAAGTCTTGCTTCGTCACTCCTCCTTAAGAAAGTGTCAAACTGTATAGGTGATGGAAGAATTAATGCATGCTTACTCGGCTGACCTGGGAGACCTAGCAACTGAAATAAAACGTTTTAATTAGCAAAAGTATTCATACTGGAGCATGTGAAGCTTAAATTGTATATGATATCCACATTATAAATATTATTCATAAGAAAATTTCTTCCCCTTATATTCAAATTGTTTATTTGTTGAATACCATTTTAATACATACAAAACCAGTCTTATTTAGTGTGGTATTTATGCCTTTTAAGCTTCTTTTTGCTTTTTCTGACACTTCTTGCAAGCAATGCCTGATTTGCAAATTCAGAAGGAAGTAAAACACATTACAGATCATAAGTAAAGTTTTGAGGATGCATTTATTTTTTTATCTGGGACAATAAGCATATTATGTGAAAATAGCTTACTGTTCTTATACAAATCTGGTACGTCCCCTTCCTAATCAAGGGTATCTAATTATCAACACAAATACAACTCACTACATGATGCCTGACACAGAAGAGGGAAGAAAGGATAGAGACCGACAGCAGTGGAGCTGTTCAGACTGACACGAGTTTAGAAGAAGCCCTAAGACTATGAGAACACAAACAAACGGAACCCAAAATCCCTGGGCTCTGTATTACAACCTTCATCACTCAGTAGTGATTCTAAAGCTGAGTAGTAAAATGCAATGGACGATAACATATATTTTCAGAAAATGTTAAAAGCATGGCTCTCATGTGAAGACAAAGTGAACACACAAGAATGATCTTAATTAACTCATTAATAAATGGAAGCCAGTAAAATGATAAGCCCAGAAGAAGAGAAAATTCAAGGAATGGAGATTTCTACTGTCACTTGGTCAAAGATCTGTTGAAATAAACTTGGTGATACATAAAATTGTCCCGATAAGGTCACAAACCATAACATTGGAGCTATTTCCCTTCTTGTGAGAAATGATTTCCACTAGGTGAATATGTAAATGTTACCATGCAAATTTGCAGTAAGTCAACAAAGTACTTAGGTCTAAGTATTAAATAATTACAAAACAACATGTATCAAAGAATCTCGCAATGATTTTTTAAAATACCACCCATTGTTTTCATTTATTTTTAAAAACTTTGGAATGTATTTTGTGTAGTAGTGATCCAGGGATTGAATCCAAGGCAATTCCAGCCCTTTTTAAAATCTGTGCTTATGGTGGATTTGAATTTATGATCTTCCTGCCTTAGTCTTCCAGAGTGCTGGGATTGCAAAGGGGCACCACCATGCTGGCATTTGGTATGTATTTTATGCAGCCCATGTGCATTGATCACAAAATGCTTAAGTGATCATATGCATAAGCTCACTTTATTATTGCAAAAATTTGCTTATGATATAGCTGTTGGTACTTTTTTGTAGAAAGATAAAATACTGAGAAACCAGATACATTCTTGAGAGGCTGAGGCAGGAGAATCCTTGTGAGTTTGGGGCCAGCTTGGGCTACATAATGAGTTCAAAACCAGCCTGAACTACATAGCAAGATATTGTCTAAAAAAAAAAAAAATTCTTGAGACTGTAAACCAGCGAGAGACCAGGCTGCAACATGAACATGGCCTGCCTCATTGATCTTTCTTAATATGTATTTAAACATGGGCTAGATTTTGGGATTCCACATAATGAAGCTCACACATAGTCCAGTTGCATTACCTCTCCTTTTCCTCATCCGTGGTGCAATACTCAGGTGCAACCTCAAGCTCAGCTCAGAACTTGTTTCCAAAACCTTCCTTTCTCTGGACTCTGTGGATTTCATAGCAATGTCACTGGCTAGCCCTTGGAGTTGACATAATACCAGATCCTCTATTGCAATTTAAATACATGAAGAATGCTGTTATCAAAGAGATTTGTTAAAAATAAAAACACAATACTTTTAACATATACATATTATTCTCATAACATATTCTTTATAGTCTTCTCAAAGTAACTTGGACATAGACAGAAATATAATGACCTGCCTAATATACTCAAGGCAGATGTCTGCCTCACCAAGGACATGAATAAAATTCAGTCTTTTATTTTAAAACCTTGAAGAAAATTCAGACATGATTAAATCACTACGCAAATCACCCCAAGTCCTAGGATTTATATGTACAGAACTTTGAAAATGTGAGGTGCTCCAAGATCCATGACCAGATCAGCTTCAGTTCCTGTGGAGGTTGTACCACTCAGCCAGCGGCTGGGAGGGTGTGGAAATCTAATCGATATTATTATATTATCAACTGGGAGCTCACATCTCTTCAGCACACACATTCCAATATAACTACCAAAAGGCCTTTTTCCAGAATACTATTTCTTTTTCTCCACACCAGATAAAAATAAAAGGAACACTGATGAACTCCTCAGTAAAATAAAAATGTATAAGTGTGTTGGTGTATTACATTTGCATTTATACTTGCTTTAAAAGTGGAAGAGTGTTACATAAAAGAGAAAAGTATTACTTTTTATGCAGTCAGCCTGTTGTTCAGTGTTCAGGTTCTTCAGGTTTCATGGATTATAAAGTCTTTTAGGACAGAAGATATTTCCTACAAGCAATCATGGAGCATTTATAGCTTTAAAGGTAGGTGTAATTTTAATAATAACTTGGCACATTTAAGGCTCTGTTAGGCACAGCTCTGGTTGTCTTTGATTTATCCATCAGGTAAGGAATCTGAAATTTTCTAAAGTCTTATTTTTGAAAAAAATCCAGTGGCCTTTTGCATTAAACCATTTGCTACACACGATTGGAGGGACTCATTTTTTAGCACTGAAGCTTCCATTCTTTGATTAAATTTCTTGTTCAAGCATTTGAACTCTTCAGAAAGTAATTATTTCTTATAAAGCATATCATTCTTAATAGAGTGGTAAAAGAATTATAATCCAATCCAGATTCCTATCAATTGGTATTTTAAGAAACTTGTGTAAATTTAACGTACTATGAATGCACATGAATTGGTTCATCACCAACAAAGAATCCGTAGATGGTACTTACGCGGGTTTAACTGTATAGGCATGTTTTTCATGTACAAAGGCACCACCAAGACCTCCTGCTCCTGAGTTTAAGTACTAATTTAAAAGTAAATTAAATTGTATGAGTTTATTTGAATATAGGACAAAAATAAACAATATAATTATATTTGACTTTTTAAAAATAATACTATAACTACTGACCAGTTCAAAACATAACTATTTAAATTTGCATAATAAAACAGAATAAGGCATCATTTTCTTTTTACTATTTAAATTTATATAGTAAAACAGGATCTCCCATCATTTTCTTTAAGAAAAACAAGTAAAAAATAGTGTTACTAGGCTGAAAAATACATAACTACAATTGTTTTGGCTAAATTTTGCCCCTAATAGGTAGATGTTTCACTGAGGTCTAATTGAATTCAATACTCATATATCTAAATTATTTGTCATAAAATATGGAAATAATTTTGAACACATATTGAAAACATATAGATCATAATTGGTTTTATTTTCATCCTTTCTATCAAGTAAATTGTCTTCAAACACCAATACCAATTTGATTTCCTAAGAACTGTGGTTACGCATACGGAAATTTCACAATTTATCAATCAACAACTGAAGGATCTTAATCAATATGAATCAAGTTCTAAGTATGGGACATTTTTTTCAAGAACCTTCTAATTTTTTTATAGCAGCCAAGAATTGAAGAAGTAAGTTCTCTGCATAATAGAAATATTGTAAATAATTTATCATATAATAGTATCATATGACTTCATTATTAACTAAAATTTAGAAAATACAATAATGAATGAAATAGAGCAAAGTAACACAAGTCCTGAAAATTGGTCCACAGATTGAGTTTTTTTCTTCAGATTAACGTCAATGTGAAATAAAAGAATGAAAATATATTAGCTCCTTTTACCTTGTAGGAACACCAGCAGGCAAAATCAACACCCCAGTCATGTAAGTGGAGTTCAACATTTCCAACTGCATGTGCTAGGTCAAATCCAACAAAACAACCCTAAGGAAAAACACCACAGGTTTTGAATTCACTTAATTATTAGAAGAAGTAAGTGAAAATATCCTTAAGAAATTCTTTGCCAACTGCGGTACTATAATAATGGTTTATCCTTTGATGCAGTACTTCACAGTATATGATCCTCAGTTTCTAAATCTTTTTAGAAGCCTGGCGGATCGGAGTAAATTTTGTAATAATGAGACATGGTTTCCATTCTTCACTAGATTGACATTTGCACTGATAGTGCAAAAGCCGGGATTGGTAAAATGGCTGGCAGCTTTGGAAGAAATAAAGTGATGACACCAAATTTTCTAGGAGTTATTTGCTTTTGTCCATGACATTCACTCAGGAGGGAGGTTCACTTGTAGATGTCCTTGTTAAGTTCATAAAAAAGATCAATAAGTTTTAGTAAATAAAAACATTTTGTTGTTCTTATTTTAATATTTAAAGTGGGAAACACACGTCATACACCTGACCACATTCTGAAAGAAAATAGTCTTAAATTAAAACACTTGGGTTTCAAACTGAACTAGCCACTTTAATATTATACAGAACTATTAAAGAGGAACTGATAAACTACTGTAATTCATACTTAGGTATGTCACAGATATATTTCTGAAAATAGACAAGGTATCACTTTTAGGAAATGAACTTACAATGTTTGTTGGCAATTATAAAATAAAATTTTCAAAGCAAGCAGACATTTTGGGAAACCTGAATCTTTCCATTAAAAAGAGATATTGCTGGATAGGTTAGTAATAATAAGTAATTCTAAACATTTCATATTTAAATATGTCAATATTTGGAAAATACACATAATTCTATGAACCAATAGTTTTCAAATGATAAATGCTTCATATTACATATCATGCATTGATAAAAGATCTATTTGACCAATCAATGAATTGCAACTTAATAAAGTAGAGAAATTTTAGTGATTTAGTTTTAAATTTCATACCAAAACTCCAAAGAAGTTATCACCTGTTGAATTCTGGTGCAATACCCAAACATATCCATAATTAACTAGAAAGACTATTAAGATTACTTCTGACTTTTTCAACTACATATCTGATGAACAGTGGTCTTTTTTTCATATGTTTTATCAGTAGCAAATAAGTGAATGCAGAGATAGGTATAAAAATCCAAGTGATTTCTATCATGTCGGATGTTAATGAGATTTTCCAAAAATAAAACAATGCTACTTTTTCTGAAAAGTATCTATTCATTTAAATTGTTCATTGAGGGATGATTATTTAGTTATTTATATTTTTCTAGATGTGAGTTCTCAGTCAGAGGAGTAGCCAGAAATGTTTTCCCATTCTCTGTAGAATATCTCACCACTGTATTGGTTCTTTACTTTGCTGGGCAGAAGCTTTTAAATTTGATGACATTTGTATTTGTGGATTCTTGGTATTATATGTTGTATGATTGGGCTTCTGTTCAGTAAGTCCTTGCCTATGCATATGTTTTCAAAAGTTTTAACAATATAGTTCTTTTTCCATCATATTTAGTATTTTTAATTTTGTATGTAGGTATTTGATGCATTTTGATTTAATTTTAGTACAGGGTGAGAGATATGGATCTAAATTCTTTCTTCTGTACGTGGATACATAGTCTTCTCCCACACCATTTTTAAACGAGACTATCTTTTCTTTAGTATATGTTGCTGGTCTCTTCATCAAGAATTAGATATTTAAGGATGGTTGGGGTTATTTCTGCATTCTCCTTTATAGTCCATTTGTTAACATGTCTGGTTTTCTTTGCCACTGCCATACTGTTTTATTACTGTAGCATTGTAGTATAACTGAGATTGTAATGCTCCTTTCTTTGCTCTTATTGCTCATAATTGCTTTGCTATTCTGGGTCTCTTCTGGATTCGTATACATTTTAGAATTTTTTTTCTAGTTCTGTGCAAAATTCTGGTGGTATTTTGATTGGAAATACATTAATTCTACATATCATTTTTACTAAAATGGCCATTTTTTCTATACTAGTTTGATGTCCTCTTCAATGACTGACAAGTAAATGAAAAAATGTTCAGTATCTTTGGCCATTACAGGACCTGGGAGAGTACGTCACAGTTAATCTTGATCATATGGCGTTGTGTCTATGTATTCAACTCAGGTACTGACAGGTGCTTAGCATCTGACACTATTCTTAGTGATTTACCCGCCATACAGTTTGAGGTATTTTGTGTCCTCTTAGTAGAATTGATTCTGCTTTGGGAAATAAACTAGCCTCTACTTTCATTAAACTCCCGGACAGACAACTGGCACAATGAATACATGTTACCCAAACTGTACCAAAATAGTAACTGTATAATTTAACTTCTTAGGTTAAAGATTATTTAATTTTCTATATATCAAAATATTAAACATTTTATCTAGAAGATGCAGTGATTCCTTCGATAGGAAGACAATTTTTTTGCACAAAAATGGATTGAAAAAGGAAACAAACCTTTTTAAATAGGAATGATAGAACTCTGCAAAATATTTTACCTCTGGATTCATTTACTATCAGTTAACCAGCTGCTCATATAATAACTATACGTCTCAAACTGTAGATCCCCTGTAATATCTGAGGAACACATCTGGTAAATGAAGTACTGCTTTGTTGTAAACTTTAGCAGTACTAAATTTAGATTTTCCTAACACTTCTTAAGAATAAATAACCCAATGCTTCTATTATAGGTATTTTCCCTAAAGCAGAAAAATGCAAATTATGACCTGTTTGTTTAAGTAAAGTTATATTGTGACACAATCAGTATCAGTGTCATTTGTTTAAATGTTGTCCACAACATTTGTTTAAATGTTGAAGCAGAACTAAATAGTTACCACAGAACACGTGATCGACAGAGCGTAAAATATTTACTACATGGTCCCTAACAGAAAAGATAGACAGACTCCTACTCGACAGCTTTAGCTTTCATGGAGAAAACTTAATATTTTGAAATTTCAATCAACTAAAAATTGTATTCATTATAATATGACTAGATCTATCATTTCACACAAAAAGAATTATATTAAAATTATACAACTGATTTTGTTGTTATTTGTGGGGCAGAAAAGTGGGTTTGTATTTTGCTCCTTACCAAAAGCTGAGCAATACGTGTCATATAAACAAGGTGGTTTCTGTTTGCTAGTATAATTTGTGAGTTATAATTTACCTCTATTAAGATTTAGAGTTATTGAAACCTGGGTTTGCAGACAAATTTTTTGGTTTAATAGTCTCATAGACACATTTTTTAGTTTGTACTTTAAGGTGTATTTACGATACAAGGATTCCATTTGGGAAAAAAAATGAAGTTGTTCTGAATTTGAAATCCTCTTTCTCTCCCTAAACATGTCTAATTGGAACAACGACTTGAAGATGCGAATTTTCAAACTTACCTTTTCACACACTGTTTTTATACAACTCTTCTTTGAAGACTCAAGGCATAGAAAAGGCCGTACTTTCATTTTACTATCAATTATTTATAAAGAATGGCACTTTGAAAAAAACCACAAGACTTCACCTCCTGGATCCTGTTATTAAAAGCCTGTGGCCATAGCAGTGGCTTCGCACCCAAAAATCACTTGCGGCTCCTACAATAAGTTCTAAGGCGTGGACGGCGAAAACATCAATAATTCAAACGGGACAGTTTTGAAGGAAAGGCTGGAAGAGACAAACGTGAGACTTCCCGGACGTGATATTCCAAAAGACTCACTAGATGGCAGCATCTTAAAAATAAAGACGAAACGTCTCTAAGCAACCTCTCAGGTATTTTCATCCCTTGTAAGAGTGGGTGACATCATGTGAATAAGAAAAAGGAGCAACTACACTTAAGCGTCTACTTTAATACATTTTCGTAAAAATCCAAATAGTTTTCAACACCTTTTTGCTCCAAATTACCCACAGATGCTCTCTTCACCCTGGCTGACAGGACCACATAGGAAAGTTCACCCACACACGACCTCGCTTTCCTGTCAGCTCCCAAACTGGTACCTTTTATCTCTTAACCAATCTGAATGCTTCCAGCCTGCTTTTCTCCAGTAAATTTCCTAAACTACACATTCGAATAGAAGAGACTCCCTCTTCCCCTTGGGGGCAGGGAGAAACATTAAATTGAGAATTTACCTCATACTCCTTGGTACAGCTCCTAAAGACCTGGTGGCCTGGCTCCTTCTACCTCTCCCTCTCGCAGGCCTCACACTGCCCATCCTCTATTTGCATCAACTTTTCTCTTTCTTCAGAATACCTTTTCTCTCCTTATTTTACTGACCCTGAGGTTTGAATGTGACCCCCAAGAGTTCACACGTTGGAGAATAAATTCTCAGATTCGCATCTACTACTACCCTGACTGAAGCCTTGTCACAGTAACTAGGACGAGATGACATGTGGTGGAGCCCTAGTGATGGCACTAACGGCCTTCTCAGCAAGGAGGGGACGCCAGAACTGGCACAGTTGCTCTGCCTGCTCCTGCGCTGCTCCTCACCGAGTCAGGCCGCAGAGGGAAGGTCCGCATCAGACGCCTGCTGCACGCTGGCTCTCCTCAGCCCTCAGTCATGACCCGAATAAACCTCTGTGCCTTGTAAGCTACCTAGCATATGGTGCTAAGTCAGAGCAACAGAAACCTGACTAGGACTCTGGACGACTTCGGTTTCCTCTCAGCGACTTTCTTCCCTTTCTCAGACTCCAGCTCCATTTGAATATTTCTCTTCTAATATTTTCCAATCATATTGTTTTCTACTCTCACATAACATAAATCCAAAGCATTTTAAATAAGTAAATGAGCAAATAAAATCATGCAATTCTTAATAGATACTCCTTTACCTTATAATTTAACTTTTAAAAAATGTTATTAATGTTATTTGGGGACCTTTGCCTCTTATCCAGTCATAATTGGCATAAGCTAATGACTCAGATATGCCATTTTTAAAATGAAGGATCTTTAAAAAATTAAAAAAAGAAAATAAAATAAAGGATTTTGGGCTAAACAATAGTTAGCCAAATTTTCAAAATTC